TAATTGTTTGGTTTACATTTTCCTGACAACACTTTTCCATATTCCAACTGGACATTTTGACTGCATATCTTCAAGGGAGTTTTTGTTTTTAGCGCCCCATTTTTTGATGAAATAGTGTTATTATTTTGGTTGTTGTTAAAGTTGTGAGTACTTATATATCTTGGAGATTAGCCCTTTATATGATATATCCTATACAAACATTTTCTCTCAAGTTTTTTTCCCCAGAAAAAAACATTTTAAAATACCATAAATTTAAATGCTACTTAAGCGTATAACCTAAACTGTAATTTTATTAAGAATGGGTCTTTTGGATTCATGTGCGAGGCTAAAGGTAATTCTTGAGGAGTTTCACAGTTTTATCATCCAACCATTCAACAATTTGATTTTCCAAATTGTGAAAATGGAGTTAATTTTCATAATGATTCTGGATCTTTGTGCCTACACAAATGCTTCTAATGTCAAGGGTATTGTTACAGGTGACTTCTATGAAGTGGGGAGTAGAGGGGTAGCAGTGTTGAGAGAGGGGTGTATTGCCTTTCTCTTTATGTACTTTGGTCAACTGGGAAATTCTTTAGAGGTTAGAACTGAATTGATGAGAATATACTATGAGTATCCTTCATGGTACAGTTGCTTGTACCCTACCACTCCACCTAGCAGTCATCAAGCTGCACCTTGAGTTCCTCTTGATCTTCATGGCATAGGAATTAATCTCCATCCCGTGATTTATTGGGGAGCTTCGCCTTAACTGGAGAGAACTTTCTCTTTTTTTTCTAGGACAAGAAATTCAGTCTTGGGGCTGAAGCGCTAGCACAGTGGGTAGGGTGTTTGCACGCGGCATCCCATATGGTCCCCCGAGCACCTCCAGGAGTAGTTCCTGAGCAAAGAGCCAGAAGTAATCCCTGAGCATCGCTGGGTGTGACCCAAAAAGAAAAAAAATTCAGTCTTAACCTCTGCCAAACTTGGTCGACTGCCTGCTTTCATGAAAAAGAATTCCAGGAAGGAGACAATTAGTGACATAAAATAAGTTTATTTAGGAAATATTAAGGGAAAGAAAGAGCATTTCACAGTGAAGAGAGAATTCAGGCTTCTTCAGATCATGGAGAGTAGAAATATTAAGTTACACATAGCAAGTTAAGAAGTGGGTGAACCCCTGTGATGGAGAGTGTCATAGAGTCCAAGAAAGGAACTGAGGCAGAGATGTGGGCAACACCAGACAGGGGAAATGCAGCAAGAGTGCACATCTTAGACAGGGATGAGGTGACCACAGATGGGGGAAATTCTCTGTCCTACCATGTTATTTTTTTTTAAAAATAAGATTTTCTTAAGGTTTTATATGGTTTTTTGGGTTGTTGCTAAGGAGTATTTGGGACTATTGATAGTCTTTGAAGCCACTACATGCTTTTGTTGCTGTAGTCAGAAACTGTTCTCCCTGGCAGGGTTCAAGCCATCTCTAGAGTCTTATCAGCCTCGGTTCCATGGGTACAAAATGGGTACAGTTCCATGAATTTTTGGGCTACTTATGGGTAGTGACAGTTACTTCTTTGGTTTTATTTCTTGCTTCTTGGTTTTATTGCATCTTGGTTTTATTACTTGTTGAGGATTAATTGAAAATTCTCTCCCTGCTTTATGTCCTCCACTCTAGATATTTCACCTCCTTAAATTTTTTAAGGGGTACATGGGTGAAGGTCTTTCTTCTGGAGCTACTTCTTGCTGGCAAAAGGACTGTAGCCCCTGCCTGTGGACTACAGTGAAATCTTATGCTGCATAAGTTTTAATGGGATCCAGTCAGTGGATTGGTTGGGAGGGAGAGAGGTCGGGAGGAGAGAGGAAGAGGGGGAGAGGGGAGAGAGGGAGGAGGGGGGAGGGAGAAAGAAACAGAGACAGAGACAGAGAGAGAAGAGAGAGAGACAGAGACAGAGAGATAGAGAAGAGAGAAGAGAAGAGAGAAGAAAGAGATCAGATAAATTAGAAACAGGAGTATGGTTTAAAACTGATTAGACTCTGGAAGACAAAAGGTTTTCTCTGGCTTAGGGAGGGCAGGTTTTTAAGAAAACAAAACAGTGGTCACAGCTTGAAATTTGGTTTCATTCTTTTGCAGACTGATGAGTTTTCTGTAAAAGAAGTGTTAGTTCCTGTTTGTGCTGACCCTCAGTAAAAAGACATGTGTAGGTAAAAAACATATTACTTAGCTTTTTGAAGAGAAGAATAATAGAATGATGTCCAGTTTTTCTTGAGAAGAAAGTGTTTGATGGGTTCACATGTGTGGTTGTGATACTTTCTGTCGGTCTGGTTGGTATAGATAGAATTGATTTTATCTGATAAAGATGAACCTAGATAGAAATTCCATTGATTTATAATATTGGAAGTCCTCAGGACAACTTGGAGATACTTTCCACTTAAGTAGTAGTTGATCTGAAGGGTTCTTTGAGCTGGGAAACTTTCACTAATTTGATCAGTTGGGTAAAAGGTGTTAACAGTAAATAGTACTAATGCTTCTTTGTGAAAAGAATAAATATTAGTGAGGAGAGTATTCTCTGAGTCAAAGATGAAGAAAGAATTTAGGAAGGTAAATGTGTCATGGTGACTCTGAAATAGGGGACATCAAAATGCAATTAATAGTATAAATGTAGGCTGTGGACTTCAATGATATCCCAAATTTAGAGTTTTGTGTAGTGAATTGAAAAGAGCCCTGGATGGAAATAAGATATGCTGGTTCTAAATGTCCAATGACAGATGAGTGGATAAAGAAATTGTATATATATGTGTGTGTATTCATGTACATGTGTAATATAACATATATATACACTACACAGCTATAAGAAAACAAAATCCTTTTTAAAAATAAGTTTGATGGAACAAAAGGTTAGCATGTTAAGTGAAGTTAGTCAGAGGGAGGACAAATGTTGGATGTATTATTCATATGTGGTGTATAAAGAAATAATGTAATGATAAATGAAACAGATCCTTGGGCTCTGAAACAGAACTGAGGCTACCAAGGGAGGGAAGGGACTTGGGGTGGGGAGGGATGGACCATCCAACATTGCCATTATTATAAAATTAAGTATGAAAAAGAAAAATATAACCTGGTTCTGAATCTCAGAATTTTTACTTTTGCATGGTAAAGGTAAGGTAAAGGCCCTCCCATTGATCATCGATTTGCTCGAGCGGTCCCAGTAATGTCTCCATTGGAGACTTTGTTGTTACTGTGTTTGGCATATCGAATATGTCACAGGGAGCTTGCCAGGCTCTGCCATGCGGGAGAGATACTCTTGGTAGCTTGCCGGGCTCTCCGAGAGGGGCGGAGGAATTGAACTTGGGTCAGCCATGTTGGCTGCGTGCAAGGCAAATGCCCTACCGCTGTGCTATCGCTCCAGCCCATGATTCTGGGTAAATAAATATTTATCAGAGAAAAAATATATACAAATAAAAAGTTTTTGGGTCCCACCCTACAATGCTTAAAGGTCACTCTTGGCTCTGTGCAGTAATTACTCCTGGTGGTACTCATGCACCCTATGAGAGGCTGGGTATCAAACCTGGGTTCAGTGAGTGTGAAGAAAGCATATTACCTACTGTACTATCTCTCCAGCTCTAAAATGTATGACATTTAACTTCTAATATATAAATTGTTATTAGACTTTTAATATTGATGCTAAATGAATCCATATTGGTTAAATGAACGGAATTATGATGCATGTGTATTGTCAAGTGACTCATACTGTCTTAACTAGGTAAATTCTTTTTTTTTTTTTTTTTTTTTTTTAAAGAAAATGGAGGGGAGGACATTTATTTCAAAAAGAAAAGAGCATTTATTGGAATTAAAGGACATGATACCGCACATAAAACAAACACCTTAGACCAGTGTTTAAAAAATTACCATACCAAGGCGTGTAATCTTGGCATTTTAACTAAGATCCTGAAAGCTTCCAGTAACAACCCTCCAAAATGCTTTGTATTCTCAGCTGTAGTATTAGAAAGAATACAATCAATGGATCAATGCCTCCTAAAAGTTAAAGGCATTGGTGGCTTCCAAAGCCTTTAGTGGTGGCTTCCAATCGTTTATCTTTTTTTTTTTTTTTATATAATTTATTTATTTATTGAATCACTGTGGGAAAAGTTACAGAGCTTTCGGGTTTAGGTCTCAGTCATGTAGATACCAAACACATTTCCCTTTACCAATACTCATTTTTAACCCCGAATCCCAATAGACCCCCACCTCCCACCCCTCCCAATTCTTTGTGAGGCAGATGAGTTCTAGTTAATACTCTATCTACTTTGACTAGATAGATTATTTCGATAGAAGATGCACAATTATTGTTTAGAGTTTACGACCCACCCCCCCCCCCCCCAATCAGACATGCTGAAACAGCGTTGTGAAATGATTTGCTTTCTACAACTTGGTTTAAGAATAAAATGATGTCGCGCGGCCGCTTGAATTTCTGCTATTTTACTTATTGACCCTGGAAGAATTTCTATTAAAAGTTAGCTAGTTAAGAGATTGGTTTCTGTGCCCTGGAGTCGTGGCCGTGCCGGAGAGCCGCTCGTGGGGGGCAGCTGGCGACCTCGGTGGGGCGTGGGGGACGGCCCACAAAGCCCCCCTTCCCATGAGGTCCCCGCCGCTCCCCCGAGCCCGGCTCAAACCCGCTTTCCACAAGGCTCCCGTGCGGCCGCCATCTTTCTTTCCAGAGAGGAGCAGGCGGGCTGGTCAACGCCCTTCCCCCTCCGGGCAGGCTTGGTGGCGCGGATCAACACAAGTCCATTTGCTTTTCTGCTCCAAGCGGCTGGTTCTCTGTGCTAAGTCCTTGTGCCTCCGGGGCCGTGGCCGTGCCGGAGAGCCGCTCGTGGGGGGCAGCTGGCTACCTCGGTGGGGCGTGGGGGACGGCCCACAAAGCCCCCCTTCCCATGAGACTAGGTAAATTCTTAAATTAAGCAAATTCGTGTGACATCAGTGTTTGTTTATTGCAGGTCTCTCAACCCTTTACATCCAGCTCATCTGATTGGATTCTAGGATGCATAAAAATAATGTGACTGAGTTAATTATCATCGGTCTTTTCCAGGACCCAGGGGTGCAAAGAGTGTGCTTTGTGCTGTTTCTTCCCGTGTACCTGGCCACTGTAGTGGGCAATGGCCTCATAGTTGTGACAGTCAACTTCAGTAAGAGTCTGGGTTCCCCCATGTACTTCTTCCTTAGTTACCTGTCCCTGGTGGAGATCAGTTACTCTTCCACTGTTGTTCCTAAATTCATCACAGACTTACTTGCCAAGATCAAAATCATCTCCTTCAAGGGCTGTCTGACTCAGATATTCTTCTTCCATTTCTTTGGAGTTACTGAGATCTTCCTGCTCACGGTCATGGCCTACGACCGCTATGTGGCCATCTGCAAACCCCTTCACTACACAACTATCATCAGCCGACCTGTGTGTCGCCTTCTGGTGGCCAGCTCCTGGCTGGGGGGCTTGGTTCATTCCATGATTCAGATCTTTGTCACTATCCAGTTACCCTTCTGTGGTCCCAATGTGATCGACCATTATTTCTGTGACCTCCATCCCTTATTTAAGATTGCCTGCGCTGATACCTCTGTGGAGGGGGTTGTTGTGCTGTCCAACAGTGGATTAATCTCTGTCGTCTCCTTCTTCCTCTTGGTGACCTCTTACATTGTCATCTTGGTCAATTTGAGGAGCCATTCGGCTGAGGGAAGGCGCAAAGCCCTCTCCACCTGTGCCTCTCATGTCATGGTGGTCGTCTTGTTCTTTGGACCTGCCATCTTCCTCTACATGCGACCCTCGTCCACCTTCACTGAGGACAAACTGGTGGCTGTGTTCTACACAGTCATCACCCCCATGCTGAACCCTATTATCTACACACTCAGAAATAAAGAGGTGAAAAATGCCATGAGGAATTTGTGGTGTAAAAAGGTGAATTCAGGGGTGAAATAAATGAAGCCTTGAAAATAAATGAGCAAAACCAGGTTGACCATATGTATGTGCGTTTATATGTGTGTGTGTGCATCTATGTACACACACATATATTTAGATTTTGGTCAACTATGACAAATAGATTAAAAGTTAATCTCCTTATGTTTTTTGTTATAATTTAAATGAACTTTATATAGTCTATCATTATCAATCAACATTAAGTAGAAGTATGTACTTTTGTGTATGTTAAAAATTGAGCCATTTCTCTTCTCTTTTTCAGTAGGCTATTGCTTACATATACTTAAAGGCATAATCATTTTGACTGGACTGTTCACTGAATCATCAAGTTTTGTCACTGTGATGCTTCCTGCTGTGGCATGTAGAAATATTGTGAGCCTTGGAAATTGTCTCTATTTTGTTTATCAGTATGATCTTGTAGAAACATCGGTAAAGGTTTTCTACTTTAGTTGGCACCATTAGCATGATTAAATCATTTGTAACTCAAAATAAGAATTTTATTTCACTGTTAGAATGGCGATATATCCTGAAAGTGAAATACAATAAAATTAGTATTAAATAAATATTAACTTGAATAATTTTTTAAGTTCCTATAATTCTGGAATGTCATTACCTGTGCACTGAGATATTACTTCAGTGAAATATAGCCTATTGACTCTTAATATATGATTTGATAGCTAAGAGTTATTTTTACATATGTAAATGTTTAAAACAATCAAAAGAGTAATATTTTGCAACATATGCCTGTTGCTAGAATTCAAACTTTTACTCGTCTACCACTATAGCCTCTGTGTGTGTATGTGTGTGTGTGTGTGTGTGTGTGTGTGTGTGTGTGTGTATTATAGTGGTAAAATTGAGTAATGTCAGTGTATGGTTACAAAGGTTAAATATTTACTCTTATTTTAACACAGTTAAAAATAAATTTTATCAAGTTACCATTGATTTATCACACAAAACAATTTAGAGAAATCATTTCTACAAGTACATAAGCCTTACTGTGTACCACTAATATCTGCTGATATTACACTGTCATAGTGACCTCCCCTCGCTCATTTCTTCCACTGACCTCCCTCCCATTTTTGCAAAGCCTGTACATTTTATTTTACATGTTAAGTATTTACTAAGCAAACTTCAACTTAGACATTCACTTAATTCCTGTCATCAACCACAATAATATATATGGATTATTCAGTATGATGTTTGGATGTGGTGTTCAAGAGTTATTCTAATAATTTGGTGATGCCAAAATACCTAGTTTGCTTCTTCACTTTTCTAGTATATCCCCCTCATGGTTGTTGGCTGCATTTAACCACTCTAGGTATGAAAGACTCATCAAAGGGAAGGGAGCCTTTGTTTTTTTTTTTTTTTAAGATTTCCTTAAAACTCACAAACACATTATTTATTTTTATTAGCCAATTTTCACTTTTATTGGCCATATCTAGGTCTACACCTAGAGACAAGGAGGGTTGGAAAGTGCTTAGGGATAAAGGAGAAGGGGATTATTTTATTAACTTCAATCCACACTATTTCCATGACAGACGGCACACTGATTGAAGAGAAATACCAAATTTCTCTTCCCAGATAGGACTGTTTGTAACAGAGACTTTTTGTTAGAGGTGTCACTGTCACTGTCCTCCTGTTGTTCATTGATTTTCTCGAGCAGGCCCAGTAACGTCTCCATTGGAGACTTTTTTGTTACTGTGTCTGGCATATCAACTACGTCACGGGGAGCTTGCCAGGCTCTGCCGTGCGGGCGAGATACTCTGGGTAGCTTGCCGGGCTCACTGAGAGGGGCACAGGAATCAAACTCGGGTCAGCCATGTTGGCTGTGTGCAAGGCAAACTCCCTACCCGCTGTGCTATCACTCCAGCCCATGTTAGAGGTGATATCATGGAATTAGTAACCTGGGTGGAGTGAGTCATTAAGGGATTTGACTCTGGTACAAGACTAACAAAAGAAAACCCATTTCAACCACATGATGATGGTGAAGCAAGTGAAACTTGGGGAAGCAAGGGAAACCTTGGGGAAGCAAGTGAAACTCTGTTACTCAGTGTCCTTCGAATAAAAGTCAGGCCAGTTGTTACCTTCAGTGGGGTGTATATGTGTGTGTGTGTGTGTGTGTGTGTGTGTGTGTGTAGGGGAGTAGTTTTGGGTTCATATCCCATAGTTCTCAGGAGCTGCTACTGATTCTGTGCTCAGGAGCACCTCCTGATGGTGCTTAGGGGACCATATGTGGTTCTGAGGATTCAAACCAGGATTGTGACTGGTGCAGCCAGATGCAAGCCAAGTGCCTTCCCTCCTTACCAACTCCCTGGCTCCTTATTCCACCAGCTTCACAATAGTTTCATTGGGGCAAGCAATATAAAATAAGTTTGCTATGCCCCTGCCAAGGGGACAGGCTGGGAAGATGGAAGGAATGGGGGAGGGGGGTATTGGCAGAGGGAAGGGAACACAAGTGGTGGGATTGGTGTTGAAACATTGTATGCTTGAAACAACTCTATCATGAACATCTTTGTAAATCATGGTGTCCTGATAAAAATTTAATGGAAATGAGTTCCCAAACTAAGATTTTTTGCTTAGTGATATGTCTTCGTCAAGACCCTGAATAATTGGTTTGAGGTTCTTCGTGTTCCTGGAGTGAGCAGACGCCCATTGGGCTACACTAGCACGCAACAGGGACGAATGGAGACGTTACTGGTTCCCGCTGGAGCAAATCGATGAGTAACGGCATGTCAAGTGATCAAGTGATCAAGTGATATGTCACGAGATATAAAATGACACAAGTAAACAGGTGACTCTCCTGAATGAAAAATTAATGATGATAGTGAAATATTTTTGCATCATTCAAAGGGATATAGACAGACTTTTGGAACTTGGGATAAGGCTGAGAAGATCTGGCAGGTGGCAAGAGGCCTGAGTGGAATAGGGCCCAAGGAGATGCAGACAAACTGGTCTAGAGAATTCCTGGCATGGGGTATGGTTGGAGGCTACGGGGGGCACTGATACCTCATATCCAATTTAGACTTTTCTTTCTTATTGATGTATTTATGATATTCTAACATCCTGTAGTTCACTCAAGTGTCCATATAGAAGAGAAAATGAGGGGCTGAAGCAGTACAGGTATGGTGATGGGGTTATTAAAGGCATGTGATGAGGAAATGATGACATGGATGATAATAGTTATGGTGGTGTTGGCTGTGATAGGTCTGATGGCAAACGCTCAGGTGGCAATTCCTATGTGCCATGCATTTTGCAAAACTTATTTTATTTTGTCCTTATAATGACCTTATGGGGCTGGAGCAATAGCACAGCAGGTAGGGCATTTGCTTTGCATGCAACCAACATGGCTGACCCGAGTTCAATTCCTCCACCCCTCTTGGAGAGCCCGGCAAGCTACTGAGAGTATTTCGCCTGCATGGCAAAGCCTGGCAAGCTACCCATGATGTAGTCAATATGCCAAACACAGTAACAAGTCTCACAATGGAAACGTTACTGGGCCTGCTTGAGCAAATCGATGAACAACGGGAGGACAGTGACAGTGAATGACCTTATGAAGTGAGCTCCATTTTTCTATTTTCCTGTGCTTCATTCAGGCATTATCGTGTAAATTTAATGTGCATTAGAGTGATTTATTATGTTATTGTGAAACGATGACTATCATAAAGTTAGTTAACACATCCATCCCTCACATGATGATCATTTTTGTGTCTGTGTGTGTGCGCGCGCGCGTGTGTGTGTGTAACCTTTGTACTCACTTAAAGCAAGGAAGAGACAATATTAAGTGTGAAAAAACCCTAAGACTCAGACCATAGTATTGAGGTTAGTGGTGGTGTGGAAATGAACTGAAATTGTCTAATGGATGGTGGTAGAGGAATTCTGGCACTTTGGTAGAGGCTGTGGTATGATAACATTGTACCCCTAAAACACATATACATTAAAACTCCTATAGACCAATGCTTCCTCTGTTCAAAAAAAATTACTATTTCAACTATTTTCATGTATATAATACAGTTGATTGTAGTCACTATGATATGACTTAGCTCTCATGTATATTTTAAAATATGCTATTTTAAATTCCATTTTACACATGAGGAAACTGAGGCATAAACATTTAAAGCTTAAATTTTCCAAAGAGAAATACCTGAAATAAAAACTTGGGGGGGGATAGTTACTTTGTGGATAGCCCAAAAGAGTGTGCCAAACTGTTTTATTTTGGTGTGTGTGTGTGTTGGTAACAAAAACCATGATCACCTCCTTGCCCCCAAAGCCACAGGTTCAAACTTTGTCCAACTATTTTTGTGCTCTGGCCCTGGGCCACACACTTAGACTTGGTAGCCTTTGAGACAGGGTCTCTCAGGACTATGATATTTAAATTTCTGGCCTATTGCCAACTTCTTAGAGCTTGTGGGCAAGAGGGAGTTGGGCCCTTTCAAGGACGACTCTCTCCCTCAGACATTCAAGAAGGAAACCTTCAACCTGTCCCAGTTTCCAGCCCAAGAAGGACAATGCAATTGAGGTGTTCCCAGTATAGTTGGATTATATACTCTGTGATTTCATCCAGGGGAATTAACATCAAGACTTTAGAGCACGGATCAGCTAAGGGATGGGGTGGCCATCTCTGTCCCGTGCCCTGCTTAACTTAATCTTATTCTGACTCCAGAAAACAGAGGTACTCAGGACCAGCTTTTGGTAAGTTAGTTGTTTATGACAGTTTCACTATATAACGTGTTGGGCACTGCTCTTATAGACAGAATTTAACTGTTCAATTGATCTTTTAAAATTTTTAATTCATCTTAAGTGTTCAAGCAAGGTAATAAATAAGCTTTATTGAAATATTATTCAAATGTTTTGACTTGTAAATTTACTGGGCCAATATGTTTTCCTTTTGCTGTTGCTATCTTTGCTGTTGTTTAATTTTTTCACTGTTCCATATGTAAAAAGATAATAAAATAACACATTTAACTCTTTGCCATGATGCTATGTTCTTTTTTTGTAAATTTTGG